GATGTATAGGTACTACCTGTCACTGATAGCATTTTAGTTCAGGATAGATTTTGAAATGTTCTTTTTGATAGTGAATGAGACACTTCTCTTCAATTTGTTGTTGCTGGCATAGTAGACCATATAATTGTCTGACTGAAATGTACAATACCAGTTCATTTCAGCTCACTCAGGCCTAACTCACTAACCAATCTTCAGGTGCTCAATTTCATTTTTGATGATTTAAAATTTTCTAGATCCATACTTCATACATTCCATGTTCTGATTACTAATGGATCTTTGCACCTTTTAATTTTGAATCATGCTGTATCAACCAATGAAGGCCCTGAAAGTTTTACTCCCTCCACATCATTAAAGTTTTCTCTACTTTGTACGCTAAGCAAATAATCTGAGAAACTGGACTATATGAAGAATGAGGCATCAAGATTGGAGGAGGGCTTATGAACAACCCAAGGGATGCAGATAACACAACCAATGATAGATAACACTTTCACTGAAAGTGAAAAGGAATTTAAGCACTTGCTGATGAGAACTAGCCTTCGATATAGATTATAACTAAATGCAAAGTAAACAACAATCTTTACAACTAACTGGACCAATCAAAAACACCATGAGAAGTGGAGAAAGAGTGAAATAGTCAAAGATTTTAGTTTCCTTGTTTCCACAATCACTGCACATGGAAGCAACAGTAAAGAAATAAATTGACAATATTGCGCTGGGAAAATCTGCTGCACAAGACCTCTTTAAATGTTTGAAGAACAAGAGTCTTGTGGACTAATTTGTGCTGGACCCAAACCATGTTATTTCCAATCGCCTCATACACATATGAAAGCTCGACAATGAATACAAAGATCACAGAGGAATGCACACATTTAAATTGTGGTGTTGGTGAAGATTATTGAAAGGACCATGGACTACCAGAAGAAGCAACAAATCTGTCTTGGAAGAAGTACAGTCAGAATGCTCCTGTAGAGGCCAGGATGGTGAGAGTTTGGCTCACCTACTTTGGACTTGTTCTCAGGAGACACCAGTCCTTGGAGAAGGACATTATGTTTGGTAGAGGGAGGGTGAAAATGAGGAAAATCTTCAGTGAGATGATTCCACAATACCCTCAAACATGACAGTGATTGTAGGATGGTGCAGGATCTGGTAGTCTTTCATTCTGGTGTGCATAGGGTTGCTATGAGTCAGAACCAACAAGATGGCATTGAAAACCCACAAAGTTACTGTACTACTGCTTTGAGGGGGCAGCACTTCTTCAGTCATATTTTGAGCACCTTCCCACTCAAGCAGCTCATTTTCTGGTATTAAATTACCAGAAATATTCAGACAACGTTCATAAGGTTTTCATCAGCTATTTTTAGTGTGTGTGTCAAGAAATAGATTGTGAAATCCTTTTTCACAGTCTGTCTTTGTTTGAAAGTTTTGCTGAAAACTGTTCACTATAGTTGACCTTGTTAGTATTTGAAATACTGGTGGCAGATCTTCCAGGATCATAGTAACACATAGCCACCGCAGTATGACAAAGTGACAGACAAGTGGTGGAAGAATCACCTTACTGGCTCTTCGACTGGCTCAAAATACAGAGAGCAGAAATTCTGGTTCATTTTCTAGTTCAAGACAATGATTTTAGACTTTTTGAATCCCTCAGGGTTAGCCAAGTTCTGTTCTCAAGAGCCAAAGCTGAGAGTTATGAGAAATATGAAATCTGCTTTACTGCTTATTTTCCAATTTAAATTAACTCTCAATTTTCCACATGTATTTTATTAATGTGCAATTGTTTAAACTCAAGTTGCCTCCTGCAGGGATGTGTGAGAGGTTGCCTGAATTAATAGGGCAGAGCTGAGAGTGGAGAAGGAGAGTATTTAAAAATAATTTTCTGTTCATTTAGCCTTTGCCATTTTTAATTTCCTATTCCGCATTGATCTCAAAGACAGGATTAATTTTATTGTGTGTCGTTGTTGAGAGTAGGCATAGCATGCACCGACTCAACAATTTGACATGTATAACTCCCTGGCATTGGATACTTTCTTCAAGCCATCCAACCATACTCACTCTCCTTTTCCTTCTTCCTTTTTATTTGGGAGTGCATGCATATATCATTTCATAGTATTGTACCATTGCTACCACAATCAGTTTTCAAACATTATTTCCCTTCCTGAACTCCTTAACTCCTTGACATCAGTTCCCTTTAAACCGCTGCCCCCCTCCGCCCCCCCCACCTCTCTCCCAAACTAACCCTTATCTTACTTGCTGTCCATATAGGTTCATCCCTCCTGGGGTTCATATACTAGAAAACATATAACACAAATTCAAGAGGGGGACCCCCGAATGGCATGACCCGTCTGAGAAAAGCACCAATATGAACAAACCCCACCAACCCAAATACAGGAAAAATGATGAGAAACAGCCAGTCCTATCCTTTGATCTTCCATAGGCATCTCTCCAATGCACTCTGCTTAGTGAGCACTTTCCTCCCGTCCCTCAGTTATGGATGGAGGGAGATCACCGGAGGCTTATTTCCTATGTGGTGCCCACAAATGTGTCTTGGGCTCCCACTGTCATCCATAGCCTTCTAGAAACCAGGTTCTCACAATTCAAGCTCGGATACTATTCCCTCCTTTAATTTTGGGTTTTGTGTCTTACAATCCTTTGATGACTGATGTTGGTATGCTTCTTCCACGTTGGAGACAAACCTTTAAGACCCCAGATACAATTTCATCTGGTGGCCGGGCACTATCTAATTTCTTCACCACATTTTGCTATAGCACCCATATTTTCTGTGCTCCCTTCCTGAGGGGAGTATTGAGCAGGGCCGTGATGCAAGAACTAATTGTTCTTAAGTTGGAGCTAGGATCTAGTTTGCATCCCAAACCCATTCCTGGATCTATGTGTGTGAGTTCTTATTTGCCTTAGGCAACCCTTTCAAAGCCTCCTTGTTAGCTTATAGTGGAACCTTCTTGATCATCCCCCTGGGACATAATGATCTTCTGTTGATGTCTTTGAATAGCCCCTGGTACAAATTTTTTAGAGCCCTGTTGATATTTGATATTGGACCAATGTAGGCTAAATCCATATCACAGTACCTAAATTATTCACTTGTACAGAATCAATCCTTTCTGTGGCTATTTACACTATTTATACAAATAATGGGGGTTAATTGTCAGGGAAAATTTACAATAATAACCACTGAGAATATCACAGACAGGTTTGCTAGAATAATACCTACCTCAATAAAGCATATAGAGCATTGATGTAGGAAGACCATGTTTATCAGCCTACCAACAGTTCAACAATCTTGATACAGCTATCTTCTTCTTCCTCAAACACCATGTATTTTGTGTCTTAATTCCTCAGGATACAAGTGTGTCTGTCACTCTCCTTTGCTGAGGTGTATCTCCTGCATTGACATAAAGACCCTGTCCCTTAGTGTTCTTATTTAATCTTTTGAATTTAATGCAATATATATATAATTTTTTATGATATATAGATTGGTCTTAAAAGAGCATAATGCTCAAAGCAGACACCCCTTACTTAGATATGTTAATCTTAATTATTGTTCGATTTTTGAAGAGTTCAGTGGCTATTTTATGTTTAAGGTTTAAGGAAGTAGGGCAATAATTTTGGGAGTCATCCAGCTTCCATAGCTCCATACAAACTTTAAATTATGCTCTTCATTTTCCCCTCTTTGACTGAATTCTTTTATAGAACCTTAACTTAAAATGTTTAGTAATGGTAGCCAAGCACCATTGAGTTTGGTTTTTTTGGATCTCTTGGTAAAGGAGACAGTTGTTTATGAAGGCAATCAGCCACATATTTCATTCTCTTTTTTCCATTCTTGACTAACCTCTGCTGCTCTAGGCAAATTGAGACCAATTGCCTTGCCTTGTAACTACTTGCAAGCTTTTAAGATTCCAGACACTATGCAATGATCTAGGAGGTAGAATAGAAATGCTAAACACACTATTAGAGCAATTAAGTGGGATGTCCCACCAAACCTCCTCATACGGTCTTGTTAGAGCAGCGGTTCTCAACCTGTGGGTCACAAACCCTTTGGGGGAGCTGTCCAATTACCCTTTCACAAGGGTCACCTAAGACCATCGGAAAATATATTTCCAATGGTCTTAGGAACCGAGACACCTCTCCTATATCATCTCCAGGCGGGTCCCCCCACATGCAGATACGCCCACATAGGAGTACCTGTGTGAGATTGTTACCCATGCTATATCGTGCTTCAAGACAAAATTTCATTTATTTGTAATTAGAAAGAAATATTTCACAATATATAATTACATATTGTTTTTGTGATTAATCACTATGTTTTAATTATGTTCAATTTGTAACAATGAAAATGCACCCAGCATATCAGATATTTACATTATGATTCATAACAATAGCAGAATTACAGTGATGAAGTAGCAACAAAAATAATGTTATGGTTGTAGTCACCACAACAGGAGGAACTGGATGAAAGGGTTGCGGCATTAGGAAGGTTGAGAACCATTGTGTTAGAGCCTTCCCCTCACTAACGAGTTTACGGGTATCTCTTCAAAGCATTATTCAGAAAACCTTCAAAATCCTTATATCTTCCTCCTATAAGTTTTCACTTTTCTCCTCTAATCCTTTGCCTTTACTTCTTGAACATTTTATATTATATTTGATGCTGTTATGAAATCTATTAAGTAAGTTATATTATGATGAATTATTTAGACATCTGTGTCCTTCTCCTCCCTCTCCATCCATAGTTAATGGTCTATTTCCTTTTTCATAGCTACAACTTTAGTCTATATCTAAGTAACTGGAAATTTATTAATAAATATTGGCTGAGTTAATTAATCTTTAATAAATGCGTAATTCCTCCCACTTTTACACATCCTGGAATACTTGTAAACGTATTTGAAAAAGAATTGTGTGGTTATGTTGACGCATTTTGACTCTTCTTTTTCTGCCTTCTCTCTTACTTTTCTACCTGTCTTACGATGGACAATTTGACACTATGACAGTGCCTCCTCTCCAGTCAATTGCCAGTGGGGTTCCTATGCCCCTTGGTCAGAATGCAGCGGCTGTACCAAGACACAGGTAGGACCATGAAAAATCTTTATATTTGATTATTTATATGCAGAATAAGCTTCGAAAGGTTCAAAATGGTATTGACTTTGAATGGTAATTCATTTTTCTTTAAAATTGTATTGGTAATTTTGAAGGGAGAAAGTATGGCTTATTAATAATATTAATTGTTAATAATATTAAAATATAATTTTTAAATTTAAATTTCTCTTGAAAACTTTGGAAACATGTTACCTTTGCCCTAGATAGGCTAAAAATGAATGTCAACTTGCTAGCTCTAACTAAGAAAGAAATAGGAATGGCATGAAATGAAAACCGATAATTAAAAATCCTTTTCATATTAACTGGGTTCAAGTTTTCATTTCATTTGAAACAAAAACTAATCAGTTGCTGCTTAAGCAGGATGCATTACTTCACAAATAATGAGTGACCATGAATAATTAAACATTTTTAATCTGATAAAGTTTAGATCCTATATAGTATGAAAAAAATCAAACTTGAATAGGGTATTCTTAAAATGTCTATTTTAAAATTATATATTAAATTGCTTATTGTAGAATATACAGAAAAGCATAAAGAAAAGAAAATCAACTCATAATTCCACCATTTAGGAAAATAGCATTTTAGCATATATTCTTTTAGTTTATTTTCTGTGTTTATGGTGTCTAGAAGCAGGATTTTTTTCATAGTTCTTTATCTCATAATTTTATTCTAACAATTAGCACTTGGCATGAATTTTGAGTTCTACAATACTCTATTATATGATAGAATAAATTTATTTACATTCTTTTGTTCAGTATTTTAAATGGTTTTCATTTTATTATCATAAACAAAATTTAAATAAATATTTTTATACATAAATATCTGCTCATTTGGTTACTTTCAGAGGGTAGAGTCCTAGACGTACAATCTTTGTTTTAAAGAGACCAACGTATTAATGGTTAAGTAGTTTTAAAGTGGTTTAATTCAGATAGAAATATGTTAAAAATGATTAAAATAACAGAACCATATTATAGAAGACCATTTCTATTTTGAAACATCATAATCATAATTTTCATCAAGCATTTATTTAATATCTATATGGGTAGTGTTCACAAAATAAGTCACACAAATGCAGAACTTGGCTTCTAGCAAATGTAATAGATGACAGCGCTGATTACAGGCAACTCGGAATCACAAAGCAAATGACAAGCCCACACCAAACACATGGAAACTTTTATCATTGAAAAGCAAGAGAAAACTTGAGCTAGACATAGTTAGAAGATGCATTCCATTTTTTATTTTTTGAGTGGAAAGTTCATAATAAAATGGACATATCCCTGGAGTATGAAAATGAATTGTTATGCACAAGCAGACAAGTGAAAATGATAAAAGACCATGAGAAGAGAATTTGTCAGGTGGGAACAAGGGCACTGGAAATATAGGAAGAGAAAGCGTTACTTATACAAGCAGCATAATCTGTTTTATTAGGACATTGATACATCAAACAAGGATGAATTAATAAGTTACATATGAGAGATGTCTATATCAATCAAAAAGTGGCTATCAAGAAACTGTACTGGCACGAGGTTCCACTGCTCATGCATTTCTTCATGATTTCTCTGCTTACCCACAATGAAAGGCATTAGATCTAGTTCCTGCCTGGTGCAAACCAAGAGTCTGCTTCCATTACTGGGTCCCTTGCCTCAAGGAGTTCCCACTTTGAACCCAATTTATGCTGGAAGAATACATTCCACATGGGCTTGCATATCTACTTTCCCTTTGATTTACTCTCCAGGTTTAAATCCTCAGAAATCTCGGCCTGGGTTCATTTGTGTGAGTGAGTAGAGGTGAGGATGGCCTGAGGCCTAACAGATGCACCTATGATTATTGTGGGGTGTGTGTATGTGTGCGCATATTTGGAAGTTTTCCCTCTTTTAAAATTAAATGTTTGATGTATGCCTTCATACTGAATAAGAATTAAATGAATTTTAGTTGTTTCTCATTTTGTCTGATAATGTTCTCAATTTTCTGATACCTTTCCCCTGCCAGAGCTTGCTTGTTGGTTTGATTATTGATGTAAACTTTCTGTTGTGAATTAGGAGGTAGCATGACAGGCTTGTTTTTGAAATATTATCCATTTAACTTTTTAGGGTGTGGGGGTGTTTAATATAATCCTCTTCAGAGGTCAGTGTTTTTGAATGTCTGCTAAAATTCCATTATAGATGTAGCTTCATCTTTGGATTATTTGGAGGTGTGTTGTTTTTAAAAAAAATATAACTTCAATATTAGCATATTTCATTTGAGGACTCTTTCTTTTCTTGCCTGCCTGACAAAGTTTAAAATTCAGTTCAAATCAAATGCCATCTTATTTCTAAAGATTTCCTTGACTCCACTTCATTTCTAGCCTGTGGCCCAGGACTTGTATACCCTCTAATAGAATTTATTTTACCTTTCTAATGAACTCTTGACACACAGCTTTGACAAAAATATTAATCATTCTGTAAAAATGTTAATTTTTCTATATTGAACTCTTATTTGCCTCTATGCCTATAACCTGACTCTTTCAGCTCATGTTCTTAGATTCTCTCTCTTTTTGCATTCAATCTTGAAGATAAATATATAACCGAGAATGCTCTATAAATACCCAAATGTCATTGAATTCAAGGACAAGTAGGTCTGTGGGTTCATTGATTTTGGAGGTTTTATTTCTAAAGAGCACAAGAGCAATTTCCCGAACATCATCTCTCCAATTGCATCAATTTATCTTAGATAAAGGAAACTGGAACTCTCTGAAAGCACTGTTTTATGTTTAGACTCGCAGGCAGTCAATTGCTGTTTACGGTCAGTATGGGGGCCAACCTTGTGTCGGAAGTGCTTTTGAAACACAGACCTGTGAGCCCACACGAGGATGCCCAACAGAAGAGGGATGTGGAGAGCGTTTCAGGTGCTTCTCAGGTAACTTGTCCCCACAATCTCTGGACACAGACTGTAAATAAATTCAAAATATACTTTGCTCAATATAAAACTCACCGCTGTCTGGTCAATTCTGAGTCATAGTGACCCTACCTACATGTTGAATATTAGAAGTTATATTGTCTATAAATAATCACCCCCTGAATCATCAGTGTTTTTGTTGGTGTATTGATCATACACACAGCCATCAAATGCAGGTGGGACTACCTGCTATCCTTTAAATGAAGCCATGCTTATTAACAGACCTAAGTTTCTAGCATCACATTTTGGGTAAATATGTAAAGTAAGGGTGGTATGAACACTGAGATTGAACAAAAGCAATTTTCCTGCTTAAGTTATGCGTACAAGAAAAAAAAACCCATTAGCTCATCAAGGAGCATCAAAGATAATCTCTATTTTTGTTGTGTGTAAAATATCATCTTGCTCTGGATATTGGTTAATCTATTGTCTGTAGCATTTATGTTTTCAGATGGGCTGAACAAATTTGAACAAATACTGATTTACCTTGCCATGTTTTCGGAGATAGTGATGAGGATAGTGAATACAGAAATGAAATACATAGTTCTCTCAAATATATTACAGTGCTATGGGAAGAATTGTGCATAAGTCAGCTCCATGTCAGAACTTCTCAATAATATCTGTTGAGGAGGAACTGTACAGTAGAGATACTTCAATGTAAAATGACTAACATCCGATCCAAGCTTCCACTGACTTCATCTTGCCTTCTCTGCCTTAGCAAACACTTGTTTACTTCTTACCTCTGTGTGTAATAATGGCAATTTTTTCCTCCTTCTTGGTGTTTTATGCTACACTTTTCCCATATAAGTGTTCCCTCCCAGAGGGGTTGGGACCCAAATGATGATCTGAAATCCCCTTATGCAGGATGATCTCAAGAGAGTTATTTTTTTTGTGTGTGTGTATGAGAGTTATTTTAAACTTATCTTACTTACCATGTTGAAAAAAAAATGCAGTTAAATTCATATGAAACGCCTGTGCTACACAATCACAGAAAACCTGCCAGAAGGGCTTCATAGAAAGCCAGAAGTTCATAGAAAAATGAAATTCAAAGATAATGGAATTTTCCCATGAAATTTTTGAAGATGGTTACTCAACACCTAGCAAACAGTGTCCTGTGACAGGTCCGTGTCCTTTTGTAATGATCTTTTAGCCAATCAATATATTGCATTTGTATGTATACAATCAATAATGTTAATAATCGCATTGCTTTTTCCCGCCTTTAACTGACCTCAATCATTTTAAACCAATAAGAATATTATGTTATTAGTCCCTGTTCTCACTATATAAATATATGCCTGTAAGCCTGCACCTCCTTGGAGCATTTTGCACTGTAAAATATTTCCCCAGAAGCCATTGTGTTTATTTCCTCAATAAAATAGTTTACTTTCATCCGACGCTCTCAAACTCCAATTTTACTTTCAAACCTAAATCAGAGGTTGCCTCCTAGGGGAAGCCTTCCCTCAAGCCCCACTTGAATGGCTAATTAACCTCTCACTTCTCTTGGCACCTTCTGTACCTTCCACCATCCTATAATCCGGACTGTTTGTTGTCCTGGACATTTTATTGGTAGATCCTGAGGTCCTTGAAGACAAAGATCATAGTTGGTTGGCTATCTATCTATCTATCTATCTATCTATCTATTTATTTATTGATTGCATACTGGAGTTCCTAGTGCATAGTAGACTGTCGGCTAACGTCTATTGCATGGGACTGAGCGACAGTATAGTGGGCTGCATACTATGATAGTTGTATACAGAGCATATTATAAAGACACAAGAAGAACATGATCCTTGGTCTGTGGGGTAGGGGTGATTACTGTGAGGAGATCATGTTTAATTTGATTCTTGGGGACAAATAGCAGATAGGGAGAGAAAACCTTTCTATGAGAGAGAACTATAAATGCAGATTACTGGGGGAGAACAGAAAGCATACTAGTGGTCCAGTATCTAAAGATATTAGAAAAATGGCTGGAGATGTTGCTTGGGAGGTAAATGATCCAGTGCCTTTCTGTGCTTCCCTGGGCCCCGGAATTTATTATAACAAAATTCAAAATTCTGTAATTCATGATGCTGAATTACAGTAGTGTATGTCTTCCCATATTATCCTGTCCCATTGTAAATTATAATAAAAGCTTGGCAGAGACCACATTTATTGTATTCCCCACCCCCCTCTGACAGGCAGAAGAATGTCTTATATAGAATAGGTGAATAAGAAATGTTGAGTTTTATCTTGGTGGCCCAGTTCTCAAGTTGATAAACCTAAATCACTAAGAAAATAGAATTTTGGTATCTCCGAGATTACAGAAAGGAATTGGAAATTGAAGAGCAGAGATCAATCTGTCTTCCCAGTAGGTGGCATTGTATGATTTCAGAGGATTCTGAACTGCTGCTTGCTTATGGTGCAGAACCAGTCATCTTGAATTAAGATTCTATTTGCAATTTTGTGGCTGTGCGAGGTCAGAATCAATTTGCTGTGCTGCCACACCCAGACACCCTGGGGATTTGCTTCAAGCTCATCACACTCCCAGAGCTGGAAGAAGGGCGGCGGAGGAAGCTGCTTAATGCGGTAGTTTCTTTTCTTCCCTGTCTTCCTTTCTGGTTCGCAGGTCAGTGCATCAGCAGAACTTTGGTTTGCAATGGGGATGCTGACTGCGAGGAGGATAGCTCGGATGAAGACAGATGCGAAGGCTCAGAAAGCAGGCCTGCCTGTGACATTGATAAACCTCCTCCAAACGTCGAACTGACCGGAAATGGGTAAAGCACCAGACAATTCCCCACACGCGCTACAATCTATGATAGTCTTTCATTTTTGATTTGCTTTATTTTATGGCATGGGGAATGTGAGAGCGAATCACTTTATAGCCAAGCCTTCTCTGGCTCAGAGTTCTTTGTCCCATCCTGCAATAAACAGTTTTATTGACATCGTTTACATACAATTCAACGGTCTGCATAGATTAAAAAGAGAAAGTGCAATCATCCCCACTATAAATTGTAGAACATTGTCTTCATTTTTGGCTTCACAGTTACTGGCTCCCCTTTTCTGCCTGAACCTCCTCTGTCAAAACCCGAAGAAAATCTCAATTTAGTTATTGTCTCTACAGATTTACCTACCTTGGATTGGAAATATAAATTTTTTTATGTGGTAAAACGTACACATGTAAACACACATAAGGTGTAGCGTGACTGATTTTAGCCCTGAGAATTCCACCCCCTTGGTTCTAGGAAAACTTGGACGACTGATCACTCTGGGGACTGGTGGAGTGCCTGTTTACTAGAGAAGCTGTAACAAGAATAGCACACGTTTAGGAAGCTCGAAGTCTGAGTTCAGGGCCCTGCCTACTGGAGAAGGTTCACTCTCTTCTGTCTTGTTTCAGCTTCTGGAACACTGGGGCACCTCGGTGACTAGGTGATCTTCGTCTGCTCCTGTGTCTAACTTGTTTTCGGTAATTCAAAAGGCATTAGGTCTAGGGCATATCCTGAGCTAATAGAGCACCATGAACCACATAGGAAACCCCACTCCCAAACGGGACTATGTCACATGCATACCCGTCACTAGTGCATCCATTCTGACTCCTAGCAACCCTATCAGTCAGGCTAAAGGTGCCCCCTAGGGTTTCTGAGGCTGTGAACTTGTCCAGGAGCAGAAAGCCACTTTGTTCTTCCATGCAGTGTCTGGTGGGTTTGAACTGCCCTCCTGGTGGTCACCAGCTCAACTCATAGCCCACTGAGCCACCAGGGCTCCTTTGAACAATTAGAAGCTTCAGGATTTCAATACACATTTTAAACACAATCAAGCCATAACAGGAGGGTGAAGGGAGAGGGGTGATTCACTGGTGTAGCGCCATTGACTAATGCAATGAAGAGAAGGAAGAGAGAAGAGAAAGTGAGAGGTCAAAGCAAAGGAAGAGACAAATGGTTTGTTGTAATAGAATGACAAATACTTAACCAACCAGCTGGGAACTCTCATTTCCAAGAGAAATGGGGAGAATCCTGTGCTTGTCTTTTCAAACATAATTCTGAGTAACAATTAAAGGCCATTGGACCCAAGTAAAGTTTCCAAGACTTTGAAAGAATCGGGTTTCAAGCAACAAGTAGATACCAGTTAAAAAACAATATCTTGACATTTATTAATAGAGAAACAAGATAAAGTTACTCTAAGAATATACTACTCAACATGCTAAGAAGCAATGAGTTGAAATTCAATGTAGGTAGCTTTAGCCTTAATTGTATGATTTTATCTGTAGATTCAGTTCAAAACCAGCTGTTGCCATAGATATAATGAGAGTGTGTACTTTCTAAATAAACACATTCTTAGGCTGAAAGGATGCTGGATTTCCCAGCCTTTAGTCCTAGCTATTATACCAACCAGTGTATTCGTGTGTGTTAGGAGGCTGCTTTCTTTCTTCTAGCTCTCAAATAAAGTGCTCAACTGTAATACATTTCAAGAATTTCTAGAGTTCTCTAAAGATGCATTTTATGATAAGAACATTTTTTGGTTTCTAATGGTCTTTTCTTCCTCATCTTCACAAAACAGGTACAATGCACTCACTGGCCAGTTTAGGAACAGAGTGATCAACACTAAAAGTTTTGGTGGTCAGTGCAGAAAGGTGTTTAGTGGAGACAAAAAAGATTTCTACAGGCTGAGTGGAAATGTCCTCTCCTATACATTCCAGGTAATTAATTAAATTAATTTCTAATTTGTTAATTATTGTCATAAACCACTGCTTATATAATGTCGATTTTAAGGTATTTGTTGAGAATTCATTTGTTGTGTAGTATGCAGTCAATAAAAATAGTTTTCAGTGTTCCATGTGGGCTTAAAAAGAGTAGGTATTCTTTCACTTGGGTACTGAGCAGTGATGAAAATTACACCACTTTTAGATGAACTAGGAGGGGACTTCAAAAAGTTCATGGAAAAAGGGAATTGAAAGATAATGGAATTTTTCCAGGAAAATTTTGAAGCTCTTGTGTGTTTATGCTTTAAAAACAATTCTGTGATCCATGGGGGTCCAGGAACGTGTAGCATGTCCTTGAATGGATGCTAAAACTACTCAAGGTCCTGGCCATGACTGCTTATGACGATTCTTTAAGGATGACCCCAGAGCCAGTCCATGATTTCATTTTGAAATTATGTAATAATTCATATATGAAAATATGTGTGGATAAATATATATAGTTAGAAAAACTACTGTGGTGAGTATGTGTGTGAAAGGTCCCTGGATGGTACTGATGGTCTGTGTTGGCTGTTAACTTCAAGGCTGGTGGTTTGAACCCACCCAGAGTGCTGTGGAAGAAACAGCAGATGATTTGCTTCCCTTAAAAGTGCAGCTAAGGAAACCACCATAGAGCAATGCTTTATAGCACATAATGTGCAGTCTTTTATGACTTGCTTGCTTATTTTCACTCAAAATTATGGTACTGAGATTTATTCATGCTGATCCAGGAGGTATTTTTATTTCAGTACAGTGTACCAATGTATAAATATTTAATTCACCTGATTATTTTTGAGCATTTGGTTTGTTTTTAGATTAAAAAAATCATTTTATTGGGGCTCATACAATTCATCACAATCCATACATACACCAATTGTGTAAAGCACACTTATACATTTGTTGCCCTCATCATCCTCAAAATTCGCTTTCCACTTGGGTTCCTGGAATTAGCTTATTTTCCTTT